CTCAGTCAGCAGGGGGGGATGCGGGAGGTGGAGGCCGGGCCAAGCCTGCAGGATCCCCCCAGGGCTACCACTGAGCACTTTTCACCTAGGGGGCACAGGCTAAGGCTAGGGGTGGGACACCCCTTGGCCTGTATCTCCCACCTTCCTAATTCACATGTGGGAAGCCAGAGGCGCAGAGAGAGGAAGCCATGGTGCAAAGGGGCCCGGCCCCAGCTGTCTCCTCCACCTGCACAAGAGGGACATGAGGCTTAGAGTGGTGATGAGACTTGCACAAAGTTGCGGCTAGGAGGCAGCAGGGAAGGGAGGAGGAGCCGCCCAGGACCACAGCTGGCCTAGAAACACTCTGGTTTCCAGCAAACATCCTGGGCCAGCTCTCGCTCCCTGCAGTGTTCAGCCTGCAGAGCTCCAGGTAAGAGCTTTGGCTGCGCCCAGCCACTCCCCACTGTGGGTACACCCAGCTCAGTTTGCCCAGAGACCACGGGAAGCCCCCAAGTGAGGGAGGGGGTCAGTGGCCCACCCCTTACTCTATAACTCCTTATCAATGGAGTGATCACCAGTATCAAAAATGAGAGGTGGGCTGGGTGCAATGGTCCCTGCCGTAATCCCAACACTTTGGGAGGCTGAGGCGGGAGGACTGCTTGAGCCCAGGAGTTCCAGAGCACCTGGGCCACAAACTGAAAACTTCTCTCTTAGAAAAACAAACACGGCCGGGCGCGGTGGCTCACGCCTGTAATCCCAGCACTTTGGGAGGCCGAGGCAGGCGGATCACGAGGTCAGGAGATCGAGACCATCCTGGTGAACATGGTGAAACCCTGTCTCTACTAAAAATACAAAAAATTAGCCGGGCGTGGTGGCGGGCGCCTGTAGTCCCAGCTTCTCGGGAGGCTGAGGCAGGAGAATGGCCTAAACCCGGGAGGCGGAGCTTGCAGTGAGCCGAGATCACGCCACTGCATTCCAGCCTGGGCGACAGAGCGAGACTCCGTCTCAAAAGGAAAAAAAAAAAAAAAAAGAAAAACAAACACTAGGCCGGGCACAGTGGCTCATGCCTGTAGTCCTAGCACTTTGCGAGGCTGAGGCGGGGGGATCACGTGAGGTCAGGAGTTCAAGACCAGCCTGGCCAACATGGTGAAACCGCATCTCTACCAAAAATACAAAAATTAGCTGGGAATGGTGGCAGGCGCCTGTAATCCCAGCTACTCAGGAGGCTGAGGCAGGAGAATCACTTGAACCTGGGAGGCGGAGGCTGCAGTGAGCCGAGATTAAGCCCTTGCACTCCAGCCTGGGTGACAGAGCAAGACTCTATCTCGGAAAAAAAAAAAAAAAACCAACTAGCTTGACGTGGTGGTGCGTGCCTGTAGTCCCAGCTACTAGGGAGGCCGAGGCAGGAGGATTGCTTGAGCCCAGGAGGTCAATGCTGCAGAGAGCCGTGATGGCGCCACTGCACTCCCGCCTGGGTGACAGAGCGAGACCCGTTTGCCAGCCTCAGCAAGCCTCAGAGAAGAGCCCTCTCTCCAGCTCCTCATTCTCCTGGGTAGCGGGCAAGAACAGGGGCTGCAGCTGAGACCCAGGCATCGTTACCCTGCATCCCCGAGGCCCTCCACAACCTGGTTCTGAGAACAGGAGGGGCTGTGGCAGGGCAGAAGCAGTGCCAGCCCCGTAGGGGGTGAGGAGGGGAGGCGTATGCCCACCCCTTCCTCACCATGACAACACTTCCTATGCAGGGCAGGATGGTTCCAGGAGCAACCCTGGCTCCCTGCTTGGGTAAGGGGACCTGCTTTAATAGTAAGACGCCCCCACTCACTCCCTTCTCTCCTCTGAGGCTCACCACCCTCAAGTGGCCTGTCTGATGCACTGGGGTTCCTAGAGGGCTCAGTCTGGGGCCCCCTCCCACCCAGACAAGGGTTCTGAGTCCTCCACACTCATCTGGGGCTGCCACTTCCCCAGAACAGCCTGGGCTCCAGAGCCTCACCCAGCCCCAGCTAGGCCAGTTGTACAGGGAAGGGGTGGCAGTGGGGGTCTGGGCGGTTCCACAATCAGATGAGCGAGCCTGCCTGTCACCCTGAGGTGGGACCCTGGAGAAGCCACAGAACCATCTGACCCTTGGGGTCTACACCTCCAAGGAAGTGGAATATGCCAAGTGCCTGGCGCATAACAAAGGTTCATACATGCAGTCTAAGAACCAAGCAGGGGTGTGAGCAGGAGGAGTCACCCCAGGGTCCCCTGCTCCAAGCTCATGCCTGAGGCAGGGCTCCAACAAGACAGTGGAGGGCGGACTCCCTGGCCCACTCCGGGCTCTCGGACAGCACCAGGGCTCAGGTGGGGTGGACCCACAGAGGACAGAGGTTGCACGGAGGGCAGGCGGCTCCGCTCCCTGACCCCCAGCCACACCCCACCAGGCAGGAAGGAGGATTGCCAGAGAAAGCGCTCCCAGAAGGCCTCTCCCTCAAGTTGGCCCCTCGGCTCACACCGGCCCTGGCTGCCAGCAGCGGTTTTCCTAATAGAAGCCAGGTGTGGGCCAGATGCCCTGGGCGGAAGTGGGGGGCAGGGCTACACGGAGAGCGGCATTCCAGGCCTGCTGCCCCCGCATCAGGGCCCGAGCACAGGCCCCAGCCAGCAGCTGGAGGGGTGGGAGCCACCCACGCTCTTCCCAGGTCTCCTCGCCCCAAAGCCCCGCAGGGGGGCTCCCTCCAGAACCAGATCCTCTCTCTCTCTTCGAGGAGCTGGGAGCCCCTTGGACAGCAGCCACTCTATCCCCACCTCGGCATCAGTCACCGCCCCCAGCCCTGCTGGAAGAGGAGGGGAGAGAGGAGGAAGGCTGGAAAGAGGGGGCGGAGGAGGGGAGAAGAGGAAGAATCACGTGGGCCCAGCAAGCTGGCTCAGAGCCATGCCTGGTAGGTCAGGGGCAGAAGCATAGGTGCCCCAGCAGTGCCCTGGGCTCTGGAGAGGAGAGTGCAACCTGAGAAAGTGAAGGAGGCCGGAGGAAGCCTCCGTGGCGCCTTCAAGCTGAGCCTGGGCCCCGCTTTCTGGGCAAAGGCTTGGAGGTCAAAGAAAGCTACCCAGTGAGGATACCGCGCACACCCACACTGCCTTGAGATGCAGACAGCCACCATCTACCAAGCCCAGGTCCCGCATGACGAAGAGGTCAGCCAGCCTCACCAGCAAGTATGACCAGGGTGTGGCCAAAATCACTCTGCCTGGCTAGTTTCACCGGTTAAATGGGAGTCCTCTCAATCTTCAGCTGGACAAAAGTGGAACTGACTGTACCGTTTGGACTAAAAAATTGCAATCTTCTATGTGACTGGGTTTCTCTCCTCAGTCTTGTGTGTGTAGGGGGCTCTGGGGCTCCAGTCTAATGCTAGTTTGGTTTGGGCTAGTAGTTTGCCCTCGACCCCAGATGAGGAAAAAGTCCTAGAAATGGGGAGGGGGTATCTGTGATGGGCCTAGGTCTTTGCTGGGGAGCTCCTCTCCTGAGCTAACAGCAGGACCCTAAACTTCACCTTCCTCAGGAAAGAAGCCTCCTCAGCTTCTAGAAAGTTCTTTTTAGAAATGTAAATCCACGGCCAGGCGCGGTAGCTCACGTCTATAATCCTAGCACTTTGGCAGGCCGAGGCGGGCGGATCACAAGGTCAGGAGTTCCAGATCAGCCTGACCAACGTGGTGAAACTCTGTCTCTACTAAAAATACAAAAAAATTAGCTGGGCGTGGTGGCGGGCGCCTGTAGTCCCAGCTACTCGGAAGGCTGAGGCAGGGGAATGGCATGAACCCAGGAGGCGGAGTTTGCAGTGAGCCGAGATCGCACCACTGGACTCCAGCCTGGGCGACAGAGCGAGACTCTATCTCCCCCGCAAAAAAGAAATATAAATCTACTCATCGTACTTCCTGCTTAAAACTCTCTAAAGGCGGCCGGACACGGTGGCTCACGCCTGTAATCCCAGCACTCTGGGGCGCCGAGGCAGGAGGATCACGAGGTCAGGAGATTGAGACCATCCTGGCTAACACGGTGAAACCCGGTCTCTACTAAAAATACAAAAACAAAATTAGCCGGGTGTGGTGGCAGGCGCCTGTAGTTCCAGCTACTTGGGAGGCTAGGGCAGGAGAATGGCGTGAACCCGGGAGGCGGAGCTTGCAGTGAGCCGAGATCGAGCCACTGCACTCTAGCCTGGGCGACAGAGCGAGACTCCACCTCAAAAAATAAATTAAAAAAAAAATTACCTAATGGCTTTTCACAGCCCAGGTGACCACGGGCCTGTTTCCCCCAGCACCGCTTGCGCAGACTCCGCAGACGAGCCTGTCCTCCTCCAGGCCATCTGTGCCTGCCCCCTTGGCATTACTCAGGCCTCCGCTCCCCAGCCAGTTACTCAGGGAAGCACTAAAGCAGCCCAGCAAGAGAAGCCCCCAGCAACTACCCCGGGACAGGGCCCGGTCCCAGGATTGTTGCTCCTGCCTACAAGGTCTCTGCAGGGCGAACGAATGGTGCCCCAGTGGCTGGATGCCTGCAGCATGAGCCAGGTCCCAGCTTCCCCGTTCGGAACTGAAATGGCCACGCACACTCCATGCACAGACACAAACCAAAACACGCTCAGTTCCTGGAGCCTGTACGTTTTGATAGGTCCCACCCGGGGTCTTTCTGCAGAGGACAGGAGCTGTTTCTTTTTGGCTCCTCTGCAGCTGGTCTCTGCTGACCGTGCCAGGGTGAAGGGCTCAAAGGAAGGAAGTGGGGATCTCAGATCACTGACTGAAGCCACAGGATGGCCTCCGTGGAGAGCCTGGGGGAAGCTTAGCTCTGCCCACCCTGTGATCAAAGCCAGGCCCTCCCAGGACCCAGAACACACTTCATAGGAAGAGCTCCCAGCAGTGATGGCCCACCTCCTGGGGACCCCTGGTGCTGCGGACATGTCCGCCAGGACCCCAGGCCTGCCCTTACCTCCACCTGCTGGGACCACTGGGTCCTCAGCCTCAGCGGAGGCTTCAACCCACCCCGGCTTGCCCACACAACTCACCTGAGAGGCCTGCGGCTGTGTTCTGGGGTCAAAGATCCGCAGCTGCTTGTCCTGGAAAAGCAGAGAGGAGGAAACAACTTGCAACTAGGGCTGGAGGGTTCCTGGAAGCCAGCCTGTTCTCCCACCCACCAGCTCTGAGCAGCCCATCCCCAGCACACAGGGCTGGCATCACACACCAGGGCATCCCTCCTCAGCCCTGTTTCTCCTTCTCAGCACAGCAGCAGGCCCCACCCAGTCCCCCAAAAAAGCAAGCTCAGCAAGCAGTGTTCAGCTTCCTGAGACCTACTCCACACCACGCATACCAGACACTCGACCCCTCCTAGTCTTCCAACTACCCTATGAAGTGGTACTATCACCATGACCCCTCACAGACAAATGGAGGTCCAGAACCAAACTCTAGGCTGTCAGTGCCCCATACACGCTCAGCCCTATGCTAGGTCCAGCCTGGAGAGGCTCACGTGACGACCTCATTTCTGCACTTACAGAATTTAGCATTTAACCAGGAAAATGAGCTTACACCTCCGAACCATCCATTCAGCAGTAACTGATTCAGATTATCCAAAGGGAGGATGGAAACAGACAAAAGGCAGAAAAAAATGTACCGAAATAAAACACCCATACTTTGTATAGGACCTTCTTTCTGTGGAACAATCTGTGTGTGTGTGCATGCACACGTGTGTGTACACAAACATGCACGTTTGGCCATAATAAATTAAGTGCAAAAGGAAGTTGTAGAATAACATGGCATAGTGTGATTCTACTCTGGTAAAAATCAACAAAAATCTCCATTTGTGTGACCATGATCCTGTTTGTTTTTATTGTTACACAGCTGTCATACAGCCCATACATTTTACACGTTTGCTGAGCAAGGAGAAAGGTCTAGACTAACACAGGCCACTGTGCTATTGCTGAGTACCAAGGGTGGGGAAGGTGGGGGCTGGTTAACTTTTTCTTTTTACATCTTAGCACAGGTCTATTCTGTTTCATTCAGCATAGATTCCTGTTTTCATATTTTGAAAAACAGTAAACAATTTGAATTTGAAATGAGAAACAACACTAACCAGGCACAGTGGCTCGCGCCTGTAATCCCAGCACTGTGAGGCTAAGGTGGGCGGATCACCTGAGGTCAGGAGTTTGAAGCTAGTCTGGTCAACATGGTGAAATCGAGTTTCTACTAAAAATTAAAAAATTAGCTGGGCGTGGTTGCAGGCGCCTGTAATCCCAGCTACTCAGGGGGCTGAGACAGGAGAATTGCTTGAAGCCAGGAGGCAGAAGTTGCAGTGAGCTGAGGTTGCACCACTGCACTCCAGCCTGGGCAACAGAGTGAGACTCCATCTCAATTAAAAAAAAAAGAAAAACAACATCCTTTGCACCAGCACACATTAAAAAAAACTTGAAATACACATGCTCCTCAAAATACAATGGAGTTACATCCCAATAAACCCATCTTAAATTGAAAATACAATAAGTATGGCCAGGAGCAGAGGCTCATGCCTGTAATCCCAGCACTCTGGAAGGCCGAGGCGGCAGATCACTTAAGGTCAGGAGTTCGAGACCAGTCTAGCCAACAAGGTGAAACCCCGTCTCTACCAAAAATACAAAAATGAACCAGGCATGGTGGCAGGCACCTGTAATCCCAGCTACTCGGGAGGCTGAGGCAAAACTGCTTGAACCTGGGAGGCAGAGGTTGCAGTGAGCCAAGATCATGCCACTGAACTCCAGCCTGGGTGACACAGCAAGACTCTCTCACACTCAGTCTCACACACACACACACACACACACACACAAAGGCCAGGCCCAGGGGCTCACACCTGTAATCCCAGCACTTTGGGAGGCCAAGGTGGGCAGATCACCAGGTCAGGAGATCAAGATCATCCTGGCTAACACGGTGAAACCCCGTCTCTACTAAAAATACAAAAAATTAGCTGGGCGTGGTGGCGGGCGCCTGTAGTCCCAGCTACGGGAGGCTGAGGCAGGAGAATGGCGTGAAGCTGGGAGGCGGAACTTGCAGTGAACCGAGATCACACCACTGCACTCCAGATTGGGCGACAGAGCAAGAGTCCCGTCTCAAAAAAAAAAAAAAGAAAAAAGAAAAGAAATATATATTAAGTAAAATTTGCAGACCAGAGAGTCTTTGTTCAAAGAATCACCAGTGCTTAAAGTGTGAAAACCTGTGGTTGTGTATCACTTTCACACCATCGTAAAGTAAAAAAAATGTAAGTCAGGGACAACCTGTACTTAGTTGTAAATCTAATGAAATATATACAAGATTTATATGAAGACAATTGCAAAACTTTGAGGAAAAACCAAAGAAGATCTAAATAAATAGGTAGTCCATGTTCATGGATATAGAATCTCAATACTGTCAAAAAGTCAGTTATTCTCAACTTTATCTATAAATTCAACAGAGTCCCAATCAAAATTCCAGTAAATTATTTTGTGGACAAACTGATTTTGAAGTTTCTATGAAGAAACAAAAGACACAGAATAGCCAACCAGGTGCAGTGGCTCCCGCCTGTAATTCCAGCACTTTGGTAGCAGCCCAAGGCTGGTGGATCATTTGAGGTTAAGAGTTGGAGATCAGCCTGGCTAACACGGTGAAACGTCATCTCTACTAAGAATACAAAAAAATTAGCCAGGCGTGGTGGCACACGCCTGTAATCCCAGCTACTCGGGAGGCTGAGTCAGGAGAATCACTTGAACCTGGGAGACGGAGGTTGCAATGAGCTTGCAGTGAACCAAGATCGTGCCACTGCACTTCAGCCTGGGAAACAGACTGAGGCTCCGTCCAAAAAAACCCCAAAAATGCTACCGTAGGCCAGGCACAGTGGGTCCTGCCTGTAATCCCAACACTTTGGGAAGCCAAAGTGGAAGAATTACTTGAGCCCAGGAATTCGAGATCAGCCTGAGCAATATGGCAAAGTCCATAAATGGACATTTCTCTCTTTTTGTATTTTTTTTTTGAGATGAAGTTTCACTCATCACCCAGGCTGGAGTGCAGTGGTGTGATCTCGGCTCACTGCAACCTCTGCCTCTCGGGTTCAAGTGATTCTCTTGCCTCAGCCACCCGAGTAGCTGGGAACACAGGTGCCCGCCACCACGCCCGGCTAATTTTTTGTATTTTTAGTAGAGTCAGGGTTTTGCCATGTTGGACAGGTTGGTCTCGAACTCCTGACCTTAGGTGATCTGTCTGCCTTGGCCTCCCAAAGTGCTGGGATTATGCGTGTGAGTCACTGTGCTTGGCCTTTTGTTTGTTTGTTTTTGAGACAGAGTCTCACTCTGTTGCCCAGGCTGGAGTGCAGTAGCGTGATCTCGGCTCACTGCAAGCTCTGCCTCCCAGGTTCACGCCATTCTCCTGCCTCAGCCTCCTGAGTAGCTGGGACTACAGGCGCCCGCCACCACGCTCGGCTAATTTTTTGTATTTTTAGTAGAGACGGGGTTTCACCGTGTTAGCCAGGATGGTCTCAATTTCCTGACCTCGTGATCCTCCCACCTCGGCCTCCGAAAGTGCTGGAATTACAGGCATGAGCCACCGCACCTGGCCTTTTGTTTGTTTGTTTTTGAGACAGAGTCTCGCTCTGTTGCCCAGGCTCAAGTGCAGTGGTGCAATCACAGCTCACTGCAAATCAACCTCCTGGACTTAAGCGATCCTCCCACCTCTGCTTCCCAAGTAGCTGGGACCACAGGCACAAGCTACCAGGCCCTGCTAATGTTTTAATTTTTCTTTTGTAGAGATGAGGTCTCATTACATTGAGCAGGCTGGTTTTGAACTCCTGGCCTCGAGTAATCCTTCTGCCTCAGCCTCCCAAAGGGATGGCATTACAGGTGTGAGCCACCAGGCCTGGTTTAAATATACGTTTTTAAAATATATATATAGAAATGGCCAAAAAGCATATGAAAAAGTGTTCAATATCACTAACCATTAGAGAAATACAAACCCAAACCACAATAAGATATCCCCTGACACCCATTAGGATGCCTATTACATTTTTAAAAATAGCAAGTGTCAGGCTGGGCACGGTGGCTCATGCCTGTAATCCTAGCACTTTGTGAAGCCAAGATGGGGAGAATCACTTGTGGTCAGGAGTTTGAGACGAGCCTGGCCAACATGGTGAAACCCTCTCTCGACTAAAAATACAAAAATTAGCTGGGTGTGGTGGTGTGCACCTATAATACCAGCTACTCAGGAGGCTGAGGCAGGAGAATCACTTGAACCCAAGAGGTGGAGGTTGCAGTGAACTGAGATCGTGCCACTGCACTCCAGCCTGGGCGACAGAAAGAGACCCTATCTTGAAAAAAAAAAAAAAATAGCAAGGCTGGGTGCAGTGGCTCACACCTGTAATCCTGACACTTTGGGAAGCCAAGGTGGGTGGATCACAAGATCAGGAATTCAAGACCAGTGTGGCCAACATAGTGAAACTCCGTCTCTACGAAAAATACAAAAATTAGCCAGGTTTGGTGGTGTGTGCCTGTATTCCCAGCTACTGGGGAGGCTGAGGCAGGAGAATCGCACGAACCCAGCAGGCAGAGATTGCAGTGAACCGAGATAGCACCATTGCACTCCAGCCCGGGTGACAGTGCGAGACTCTGTCTCAAAGAAGAAAGGAAAGCAAGTGTTGGTGGGTACGTGAAGTTAGAACCCTTGCACACTGTTGGTGGGATTGTAAAATGGTGCAATTGCTATGGAAAACAGTACGGCAATTCCTCAGAAAATTAAAAGTAGACCTGTCATGTGTTCCAGCAGCCCCACTTCTGGGCACCTATCCACAAGAACGGAACGCAGGCCACAAAGAGGTATCTGCACACCCGTGTTCACAGCAGCACTACTCGCAATAGCCAAGAAGTGGAAACAACCCAAGATCTACTGATTGATAAATGGATCAACAAAATGTGGTCTGCGCGTCCTACACAGCCTTCAGAGGCAAGGAAGTCCTACCGCACACGGCAACAACCAGTAACCCCTGACGACGCAGCATTTCACGATGCTCAGAGAAATCAGTCAGCCCCAAAAGAACAAACAGTATATGACTCCGCTTATGTGAGGCATCTAA